GCGCATGACCCCGGGTCAGGTCCCCCTCGGTCGGCGGGTGCGGCGGCCGGCCCCCCCCCCCCCCCCCCCGCACACACACACACACACACACACACACACACGCATACACGGACGCACGCGCACGGACTCGGACATATGCACAGGCACAGCGCCAGGCCCGCTGTCGGGGCCCCTGCACATGGCGCCCCCGGGGCATCACCCGAGCCCCTCCCGCCGAGAGGGCGAGCCAGTTGCCCGGCGCACGGGCGACGCCTTCGCGTCCGGCGGCCCGGGCAGGCGCCCGCAGCCCGGCCACCCTGCGGCCCCTCTGCAGAGGCCATCCCCTGGTCGGCCCGCCAGGACGTCGATTAAGGAGCCCACCCCGCGCCGCCGAAAGGCCCCACCGGGCCGACGCGTCCCGGCTCCGGCCCCCTCCAGGGCAGCCAGAAAGGCAACTCGAGCCCGAGGCCCGGCCCACGCGCAGCCTCCCGTGCGAGGGGCGCGGGGACCGCGCGCCACGGCAAAGACCCGCACGCCCCCCAGCACCGGCACAGGCCCCGGGCCGCCCTATAAAAGTGCCCGCGGCCCGTGGCCAGGAGCGGGTGACGATGAGCCGCACCGAGCGCCGGATCCCACTTCCAACCCCCCTCCCCGACGCCCTCTTCTCGCGCGGCCGCCCCGTTCCCCCTGGCCCTGCCTTGCCTTTGGCCCCGCCCCCCCCCCTCCCCCCGCCCCCCGCTGTGCGCATCGTCCCCTTTCGAGGCCGGCCGACGCGACCCCGCCCCTGCTCCCGTCTGCCGCGCCGTGTGCGCCGCGCCGATCGCGCCCCCCCCCCTGCCACGCGTAAGCGCCCCTCGCGGCTACCATGGGCCCTGGACGCGCCACGCCCGCCGGCCAGGCTGGCCTCCTGCCGGGGCTGCTGCTCTTGCTGGCCCTGCTGCTGGGCTCGGCCGCATGCCAGTCGGCCCAACCGCCGCCAGTCCCGCCGCCCTATCTGCAGATCCCCCCGCCGGGGTCCCTGTCGCCGGGCCACAGCCTGCGCTGCGACGCGCGCGGTGCGTGACGCCCCCCCCCCCCCCCCCCCCCCCCCCCCCCCCCCCCCCCCCCCCCCCCCCCCCCCCCCCCCCCCCCC